TGTGTGTGTGTGTGTGTGTGTGTGTGTGTGTGTGTGTGTGTGTGTGTGTGTGTGTGTGTGTGTGTGTATTTTAAGGAGGAAACAGGATGAAATGGTTTATTCAGAACTATAAAACACATTTTCCTAATTAGATTTCAATTGTATAAATAATGTAAATCAAATGTTTAGAACTTGAATCTCTATGGGAGGCAACTATTTTTTTTTCCTGTTATCATTCTTTATAGCTGACAAAGCTCTAGTTACATATATTCTTCTGAACACTGAGGAAAAGGTCTCCTTTGTCCCCTTCTCAGTCTGAAAGAGAAGGAGAACGAATAGACCTGCCACTGGCGGGGCTGGAAAAAGTGAAAGGCTCCTTGTCCTTTTCTTTGCTATCATGCTTATGCTTGTGCTTATGCTTATGTTTGTGCTTCTTCTTCTTTTTCTTGTGCTCATGGTGATGGTGGTGATGGTGGTCGCTGTGTTTGGAGGACGTAGATTCTTTAGTAAATACTGAGAGTGGAGCTGCTGCAACTGGATGCATACTCATCTCCAAAGGTGATTGTTCTTTACCTTCAAGATTAAAAACACCCAAATGAATTCCTGTTAATAACAAGGAAAGTGAAATGAAAGTAAGAGGGAGTTGGTGACAATATAGAAAAGACAATGGATTCCCAAGTGTTTATATCACTGCCATGAAAAAAATCAGGAATGGGAGAAGTATCCAAGTAAGACATCCAATTAGTTACACAAAGGTAAGTTTTCAGCATTGTGACCAGGAAGTGAGTATTTCAATTCCTTGTAGTCTATACAGATTATGATATATACCAGTGTGTTAACCAACCATCTTCTAAAAATTAATATTCAATATTTTAAAGTACTATGAAGTGACAATGACTAGATGTGTGTGTTACAGATTAAGACTGACATTGGTCAATGAAAACATAGCTCCTTAACCACAGTTCTGCTCTATGGTATTGGGGTGGGGGGGAGATTAGCACTACAGGCATAGTTCGTTTCATTGCACTTTGCAGATACTGCGCTTTTACAAATGAAGGTTTGTGGCAACCCTGCCTCGAGCAAATCTATTGGAACCATTTTTCCACCAGCATTTGCTCACCTCTAGTCACTCTGTCACATTTTGGTAATTTTTGCAAAATACTTCCACCAGCAAAAAGATTACTTCCACCAGCAAAAAGATTATGACTTGCTGAACGTTCAGATGATGGTTAGCATTTTTTAACTGAGGTATGTACATTTTTTTAGACACAACGCTATTGCACACTTAGTAGACTACAGTATAGTATAAATCTAACTTAGATGCAATGGCAAACCAAAAACTTCAGCATGTATTTTATCTCACCTAGAAATGGATCAAATGTCTTCGAAGGTTCTTTCCATTTCCAATGTTCTATCAGCCTAGGAATCTATAATAGCGAGTAGTTCTCAGACTCTAGTGTACGGGAATTTCTTGCTTCCTCCATACCCTACAATTCTTGGGCCATACCCAGAGAATTCTCTCTCTGTATTACTCTAGGTTAATGGCACTGCTCTACATGCAGCCAAGTAAGAAAAAAACTTAAGAATCATCTCAGGTGCCCTCCCTTCCAGATCTAGCTGCTTAACAAATCTTGTTTATTCTTACTTACAAGAATCTCTTTAATCTGCCTCTCTATCCTGCCTGCAACTGTACTAATTCAGACCACCTCATCTCATTTGGATCACAGTACTAGTCTCCTATTAACTGGTTTCTTTGCCTGAAGTGTCTTACACTTGAATCCACACTTTACATAGCTTCACAGCAACGGTTCTCAAACAGGGGCAACTTTTCTCCCCAGGGGTTGTTTGACAATGTCTGGAGACGTTTTTGTTGTCACGATTAGGGTGGGATGGGGGGAGGAAGTGTTAGCCTGACTGTGCGTAGAGGCTAGGGATGCTGCCACACATTCAACACACAGGACAGCCTCCTAGAGCAAAGAATTCTCATGGCCAAAAATGTCAACAGTGTTGAAGTTCAGAGGCCCTGCTGCATAGTTACCTTCCTAAAAACAAAGCTATCATGATTACTTGTTTAAAAACTCAGGTAGTTCTACTGGTAGAACAAAATCCTTAGACTTCAGTGCAGCAATTTCTGAAAAAATATATATTTTTTATTCATAGTAGTCAAAAAACCAAGCTTTTCACTAAAATGGACTTTAATGCAGTATAGTTTCTTTTCCTTTTTAAAACGTAAATTCTCAGTGCTGATTCTGATCCAATCCGGCCCTGAGCCATGTTTTTACCAAAACAAGCATCACCATAGAAGTTTTCTAAAAATCACTTTCACCACTAATTTTAAGGACAGTTTACAATCTGTCTTGAATTTATCTTATCTTCCACTATTCCTTTCTATATATTCCAGACTAGCCCTTTCATAACTCTGTGTATTTGTAAATGGTATTCCTATGCTTGGAACACCCTTCCCTTATTTCTTTTCTGACTTGCACATTCATTTACAAATATCAGGAACTATATAGGAACTGGAAAAACAGGGATAAACTGGACAGATCTCAGTTCTCCTGGAGCTTACAAAGTAGCAAAGAAGAACGAAATTGAGTAAGTACTCCCGATTAATAAAAAGACAAAACACAGAGTGAAACAGAAGCACAACAGGAGACTTAAATTAGTGGGGCAGCGGGAATCAAAGACAAACTTCTCCAAGGAAGTTATGTTTAAACTGTAACATAAAGGAAGAGAAAGGAAAAGAAAAAAACATTTTAGGTTCTTATTATTTTAAAACAGCTTAAATGTCATTTTTGAGGGAAGTTTTCCCCAAACTGCCCCAAAAGAATTAGTTCCCACAACATAATACAGACGAGGAAATTAAGACACAGAGAAATTAAGTGACTTGCCCAAGGTGGTACTGGCAAATCTGAGCTACGAAACCAAAGAGCCTGGACTCCAGAGTCTGTGCCCGCAGCCACTCTGCTCATCTGCACATGGTGTGGTGCACACTGTCACACGTCTTTTTATCTTGGGGTCTCTTTCATTAGACTCATAGCTCCTTGAGGATAGGGCATCATCTTTGTATCCCAGTGTATTGTACAGCATCTAGCATCCTCATACCTCCACCTCCCCAAAACTTGCTAAATGAATGAATGAATATAACAGAATTATGCAATTGTTGTGTTTCTTTTTAAATAGGATGTCAGGTGAACTTAGTCAAACTAAATGCATTTTGAAGGTCACTGATTTTGAAGAGAGAGGAATAAAGTACAGAAACTATTATAGACCATTCATTAAACTGGTATGGACTACTGTACCTTCTTTGTGTCGGGCCCTGTTCCAATATTTTAGAACAAGCTGTGTTACAGTTCCTGTTCGCAAGAATTATTCACATTTTACTACCGCAACATTACATTTTTTTTTTTTTTTTTTTGCGGCACGCGGGCCTCTCACTGTTGTGGCCTCTCCCGTTGCGGAGCACAGGCTCCGGACGCGCAGGCTCAGCGGCCATGGCTCACGGGCCTAGCCGCTCCGCGGCATGTGGGATCCTCCCGGACCGGGGCATGAACCCGTGTCCCCTGCATCGGCAGGCAGACTCTCAATCACTGCGCCACCAGCAAAGCCCAAAATTACATTTTTTATATTCATGATTTTTTGGTAAAGCTAACACTAACAGTAATGTAAAAAAAAAAAAAAGGGGGGGCTTCTCTGGTGGGCAGTGGTTGAGAGTCCGCCTGCCGATGCAGGGGACACAGCAAAAGGAAGCTTACACAGCTCACCAGGATTTTGTTACAAACATGTGATAGAACAAGTTCATATTAAACAGCCCACTGTGTGGCATTTGTGCAAAGTACCTTAGAAAATTGATTATAATGCAAAATCCTAGCCTGTTAAAAAAAAAAAGAGAGAGAGAGAGATTATATATATAAGCTAGTTTGGGGACCCTATCTTTTGCAATAATTGGTGCCCAGATATTCTTCAGAAAAAGAAAATATTTGAGAGATATCTGATTTATAGTTAAGTTAAATATGCCACTATATAATTTTAATTTATATTTTAAATGAACTATATAAATATATTCTCGATTCTATAAATATGGGAATATAGGTCCCTACCTAACAGAGTATAGCCAAGTGACAAGGAGAAGTAACAGAGCTTCATAAACAAATTCCTTTAACTCCTGTCTCATTATTTAGTCAGTCTACATCAAGAGACTTTGCAGCTTTCCAATTGGCTGTCTGCACTGCTGGGAGTCTGAGGTCCTTTTCTGCACTGAGAGAAGTTTCATCATCTAATCCTAAACACCTACTTGGATTGCAGAAAAGCCAATGATTATACTAGAAACTGTACTTCCCAGTAGAGGGAACTGCCAAGTATACAACTGAGTGTACTCTTTTCCAAGGAATACTAATAGCCACTTCAAAAGTAAATTCAATCTCTTGTCTAGCAGTCTTATATTTTGCATTCAAGATATACTGATTAGAATTCTTGCATTTCTCTTGATTTGTATGAAGTCTATTAAGAAGACAATGGATTAGCTAGATCCAAGGATAAAGGTGTTAGAAAACAGGACTCCTAGGACAAATGGCTGATTCCAGGTCTGGCTAGAATATTTACAAGATGAGCCTGAAACATCTGGTATAATAGTAGAAAGGAAGTTTAAAGCCTTCTCAAGAACTCAAGAGTCAAGAGTTCTCACCAATCGAAGCTGGGAAAATCTGAATATTGATAAAGACAATAACCGTAATGGACTAAAACTAATTGATCACCACTGGAGGATGCTAGCCAAATTATTATTTTGAAAATTATTAAATACATAGAGAGAATCAAGTCTTTATCTTTCTTTTGCTATATGATCTATACCAATGGCTAACAGCAGGTGAGGGGCAAGTTAGCGTTATAGAAATAATCAGCTTATAAATAAAAACAGAAAGATGAATTAGAATATCACCATCTTGTAACCCTTAATGAATTAATGGATCCAGGCCTTGAACACCTTAGTGGCTAACCTCACAAAAAAGTCAACCAGACATTGTATGCTTCCAGATGGAAGAACACACTACCATCTATAACCCTGAAGCCAATTAAGTTTCTAGATATAATTACAAATTTAAAGGAAATACAGAGGACTCTAACATGTTAATTACACCACAGGTACACAATTAGCAAAATACAGACTTGAAAACTACAGATCAAAACCCTGGAGTTTATAACACTGTAAAGGGGAAAAAAGAATGGACTGGAAACTTTTAATTTTAAAAGATGTAAAGGATATATCAGCCAACTGCAATGTGTAGACCCTATGTGGACAGTGATTCAAACAAATAAATTGTTAAAAATTAAAATAATGGCATTTATGATTCAACTGAAATGTAAACAGTGACTGTATGTTTAATGATATGAAAAAACCATTTATTTTTTAAAGTACAAGAATATTATTGTGGTTATGACTTTTTAAAGTCCTTATCTTTTAGAGATACACACAAAATTACCTATGCATAAAATGATATGTGGGATTTGTTTCAAAATAATTCATAAAGGTGGAAATGGGAAAGGGTATAGATAAAAAACAAGGCTGACCATGAGCT